GGGGTTTCAGTCCCAACCCCAGTGGATCCACTTGATCTGGGCCATCTCAGGCTTACCTTAGTTTGGACTAATCTCCAGATCGGTCTTGAAATGGATGTCTTATTGTGGGTCTTCAAACTGGGGATGACCCAAGCCAGAGCCACAACCAATACCAAGGTAAGGATGAGAGGGAACACAATAGTAATAATAATAATTAGCTAACATTTGTATACTGCTTACAATGCATCAAGAAGGAGGCGCAGTAGATGTAGTGCAAGGTCCGATGTTAGGAAGACTCATCTTCACAAGTTCAAATGTAACCTCAAACACCTACTAGCTATGTGATCCTAGGCAAGTTACTTAACCCTGTTTGCCTCACTTTCCTCATCTGTAAAATGAGCTGGAGAAAATGGCAAACCGCTTTAGAGTTTTTGCCAAGAAGACCCCAAATAGGATCACAAAATCGGCCACGACTGAAACAACCGAACAACACGTATGTCAGGCACTGTGCTAGGTGCTTTACCATTATTACCTGGTTTGAGCTTCACAACAACCCTGGGAGGTTGGGGCTATTATTATCCCCATTTTACAGATGAGGAAACTGAGACAAACAGAGGTTAAGTAACTTGCTTAAGGTCGCATAGCCAACTGAAGTTTCACAAGTTTCATTAAGTTTGCTAATATAGAAAGTAGAGTGGTCAGGATCCCCCACCACTATGGAGAATAAGACTATAACTTGAAATAATTTTAGCAATTTGGAGAAATAAAAATGGACAATGGGGGGGCAGCTAGGTGGTGCAGTGAATAGAGCTCTGGCCTTGGAGTCAGAAGGACCTGAGTTCAAATCCAGCCTCAGACACTTGACACTTACTAGCTGTGTGACCCTGGGCAAGTCACTTAGCCCCAGTTGCCTCACCAAAAAAAAAGGCAAAAAAAAATGGACAATGACAGGAAGTTTTTAATCAACTAAATTTCAAGGCAGTTAGGAAAGATGGGAAAATACAAAACAAAATATGAGGAAGATTGAACTTTGTGTAAGGCTGGCAGATAAATATTTCCTTCGTTTCACTAACAATAAGTGGACACATATTATATATTTAGTACTGTGCTAAATTCTGTGATGATAAAGAATTTAAGGCATCATTCCTGCCTGTGAGCAACACACATGTGTGGGAAGTGAAATAATAATTTCAGGTAATAAAGGTGATAACACTAGCATTTGCAAAAAGCTACACTTCTTTCATGAAAAGAGCAATCAATTCCTGCCTCAGTACAGTTCCAGGGGAAAAAAAACCCACTTGTTTTCCTGTTGAATTTTAATGATTTCAGTGTCAGAAAAGGAAATCTGTGTAGCTGTATGTTTTCCTTCTTGCTTTAGAAGCTAGAAATCCTATACTGCCCAAGGGTTTTAATTTGCTGAAATCTGGTATCTCAAAGCACTTAATCCTTCCAGATCTTTTCAGTTGAACAAATTTTATTTTATGCTAGTAATGCTTTATTGTACCTTGCATTGTATTTAAATCTACAAGCAAGATAAAGTCCTTTCAGAAGTGAGTAGAGCATATGTGTGTATTATTATACACACATACATATGTTAAACTATATACATCCAGTTTAATTAAAAAAGAACAGAAGGGATAAGTGCTTTTAGGCACCAGATTTCAGCAAACCAAAACCTTCAGGCAATCATTTTCTAGCTGCTAAGGCTAGAAGAAAAACATGTAATTACAACCATTTTCATTTTCTACCAACAGAAAACATACCAATTTGTCAACAGAAAGTTTTCCTGAGATCCAAACTCCAGCAAGAATTTATTGCTCCATATATACATACATGCATAAATGTATTTATGTAACAATTTATATATATATATATATAAATTTATAATATCTTATGTCCTATAGTCTTGCCTATCCGCGTAGACATTACCCTTTGTATAAAATAATGTGTTCATAATAAATGCTAAGTATCCATATGCATAAATTAAGTGCTGTACAGGAAGGAAAGATCTTATATGGGCTGGCATGGTTAAGAAGTCTCAGGAAAAGACAGGTTTCTGTACTTGACCTTGAGGAATAGGTAAAGTTCCAGGAGAAGGGATGAAGAGGGCATTCCATTGGGGAAAGCAGTCTGATAGAAAGCAAAGAATTTAACAGTGTGGCACATTTGGGAGACAGTAAAGATGGCAACCCGGATAGAGTGGAGAGAGTGTTGGGAAATAATGGGAAATGAGTTTGGAAAGGTAAGTTGAAGTCATACAATGTTTTCTTACACTTCACTCCCCTTCACATGCACTATGATCCAGCTACACTAACCTAGGGGCTGTTTTTCACACACAGCCTGACTCCTTATGTTTGCACTGGCCGTCCTCCATGCCTGAAATGTTCTCCATTCTCACCCCCCATTTCTATTTTTCTTCAAGAGGCAGCCCAAAATCCACCTTCTGCAGGAGGTCTTTCCCAGTCGTACCTCCCATCTCCTCCTTCCCCACTGCTGGACTCTTCCCTCTAATACTACCTTTCATTTATATTGTACATACCTATATCTACATAGTGATTTACATGTTTACATGATTTAAATGTTTTACATTTCCCCTACTTCAATGTGAGTTCCTTGAGGGCAGGGACCATGTTTGTGCCTTTCTTTGTATCCCTAGTGCCTAGTATAGTGTCTGTAATGTTCTTGTTCAGTCATTCAATCATGTCTCATTCTGTATAGTGCACTAGGCCCTATACAGTAAGCATTTAATAAATCCTCGTTGAGTGACTCATTATGGAGGCACTATCAGACTGAATTTGGTAATGGAGAATCACTGAACATTTTTGAGAAGGGGAGGGATTAATGTGATGAAAGTAATGTTTCAGTGCAATATAATCCTAGCATCTCTGTCCCAGCATCAATCAGGGTCAGGAGTCTGTAGACCTAGGACCAATGATCTATGACCTCTTTACTACTGTTGGATGGGCAATAGAACAAAGGAGTACAAAACAGGGCAGAGCAAAACCTCTTTGTGAGATCAGAGCTCGACAGCCCTTTTTGCTTTTCTTGGTGAATGTCCAGTTTTCAAGATTCTGTGATCCTGCCTGCTTCCTCAGACTTAGGGGTACTTAGTTCTCTCAAGAATCATCTGCTATAAATGCCCCAAATTTTCATGTGTGGACATACAAGCCTAGCCCCAGTGGGATGGTCCTGTTGATTTCTATAAGCTAGCATAATTATCTGGCAGATTATTGCAGAAGGATTGGAAAGGTGGGGAATTGGATAAAGTAAGGCCAATTTGGAATGCTATTGCTGTTGTCAAGGCAGAAAGCAGTGTGGGTCTCAACTAGGAAGGCGGCTGTGAGAACAGAAGGGAAGGGATGGATACACTACAATGGAAGAATCACCCAAAATATAGTGACTTATTAGGTGTGAGAAATGAGAGAGAGAGAGAGAGAGAGAGAGAGAGAGAGACAGAGAGAGAGAGAGAGAGAGAGAGAGAGAGAGAGAAAGAGAGAGAGAGACAGAGAGACAGAGAGACAGAGAGAGAGAGACAGAGAGAGACAGAGACAGAGAGAGAGAGAGAGAGAGAGAGAGAGAGAGAAAGAGAGACAGAGACAGAGAGAGACAGAGAGAGAGACAGAGACAGAGAGAAAAGGGGTGAGGAGATGAAAAGGGAAAGGGAGAGAGAGAGGGAGGGAGACAGGGAAAGAGAGACAGAAAAACACAGGAGAGAGGGAAATGAAGAGGGAAAGAGAAGGGGAAAAGGAGAGAGAAAAGAGGAGAGAGGGAGAGAGAGAGAGAGAGAGAAATCAAAGGTGACTTAAAGCAATCCTTATCTCCTCAATAAAGGAGAGTCTGTCCCTTCATCTTGCACTTTCTCTGAGTGATCTTCTTTGGTAATCTCATTTATTCCCACAGTTTCAACAGGCACTTACTTCTATGTAGATGAATCCAAAACCTATAATCTAGTCCTAACCTCTTTCCTGAACTCAAGGCCTCCATCTCCTGCTTCTTACCTTTCCAGCCTTATTACACTTTACTCTTTTCGAAGCACTCCAGGACCTTTCTCTGTGGGTTTACACAGACCATCCTCTGTGCCTGGAATGTTCTCCCTTTTTGTCTTCACCCTTTACTTTCCCAGGCCTCAAACCCTCCCTCTTCCGGAAGCTTTCCCCAGTGCCCCAGATTCAAGAGCCTTTCTCTTGCATATTACCTTCCCCCTACTCTGTCTATATCTTGTGTGTACTTGGTTACTTTCATGTTGTCTCACATATTAGACTGTAAGCTCCTCGAGGGAAGGTATTCTTTTTGCCTTTTCTTTTTATCTCCAGCACATAATAAGGAATTAATAAATGCTTGCTGACCAGTTTACAGGACACCTCCACTTGCCTGTTCCACTGGTACTTCAAATTGAATGAGCACAAAATTGAGCTCACTATTTCCCCCAATGTCTCCTTTGCTTTCCATTTTTATATTACCATCTGTAGTACCTTCATTCATCTGTTTTCCTTGTTTCTAACCTTTCAGTTATCTGCAACTCTCTACCTCATTTCTCACATCCGATCAGTTACCTTGTTCTATTGATCACAGCTCTATAACATTTCTCTCCTCCTCTCACTCCCACTACTACCACCCTAATTTGGTTCCTCAGTATTGCGCCACCCCACCCCCAAACTATTGAACTAATTTCCTTATAGGTTTTCCTATTTCTCTTCTCTCCACCTTCCTATGTATACTTCTTAAAGTTGCCAGAAGATTCTGTCTTATGGGCAGGAACGGTCACGTCATTCAATGACAAAACCCACAGTGCTTAGGGCCTCAGTGAGTCAATAAACATTTATTAATCACCTACTATGGGCCAGGCACTGTGCTAGACACCTCCAGAGAAAAGTTCAAACTCCTTCATGTTTGAACACTTAAGCAGTGGTGGGGAGCTCAGTGCTTCATGCATAAATAGTCCTTTGAAATTTCTCCCTTTTATTCTGCCTCTTTATTTGACCTCTCCTTTGTCCTTTTCTTCTACTAATCTTCCATGGCAGTTCACCACCAGAGTTAACAAGAGAGCTACCAACCAGAATGACAAAGGACTGAGAAGCCCAAATCCAACAAACATGGAAGACAAAGGGGACCTTGCAGTAACCAGCAAAGAGGAGGTTCAGGTACGTGTTTCTGCCAGTGATGAGTAATAGCTAACAAACCCTGGAAAAATTCACACACAAGAAGTCCAGAAGGAGATATAAAAACAAAGAGGGGGTTTTTGTTGCTCTCTTTTAAACTTAACATGTACTTTTTTTTAGGTAATTGGGGTTAAATGACTTGCCCAGGGTCACACAGCTATTAAGTGTCAAGTGTTTGGTCTAAGGCCAGATTTGAACTCAGTTCCTACCTGACTTCAGGGCTGGTACCCTATCCACTGAGCCACCTAGCTGCCCCTTAACATCTACCTTTTAAAACAAACTTTAAGGAACAAGTTTATGGTTTCATATACGATCTTTTTTTTAATTGTTCTTGTTTGTATATTTGAATACATGTTATTAAAAGTTGTGCATGCCCAAAGTTCAGGCTCGTCTTCCTGGTGAAGAAGGTAAAAGGCCTGGAAGAAGGCCGTCTACTCTTCAGGTTATCCCATAGAATAAAGATTCCCTGAAAGAATAGAGGAAGAAATTCAAGGAGAAAACACAGAAGAAAAAAAGAATCTGAGAGGCAAAAGTGAAACTAGGTCACGAGATGGGAATATGGAAGAATGTGACAAATAGGAGGAAGAGGAAATGGGCCAATGAATATTTGGAGCTATGCAACAAGGGTGAGGCTCATCCCTGAGAGGGCGAAACTAGATCATCTCAGGGGAAAGGGACTGAATGCTGATGAGGATTACCAGGTACTACTAGGAGAGGGATTACCCAAAAAAGTAGGGGAGACAAGTGGAGATGGCAGGTGATTGCCTATTGAGAGATGCCTAGACAACTTTTTGCCAACCTGATAAAATCAACAGAGAGTTCTATAGCCTTCCTTGGGGTTATACATTCAAATTCTAACAGAAAACCTGCTGAAATGACTCAGACCTGAGGACTGTTTCTCACTTCTGGTGACTCATAATGTAGACAAATGACACTGTTGAAAGGAACCAAGAAAATATTACTAGGGATTATAGAGACCTGAATACGAAACTGGAGGTGTTAGGAATGTAAGTTGGGGTGCAAGTTGATTTTAATCACTACTACTGATTGGCAGTGGAGCTTTTAGAAGGGAAACTGTGGGAACTGAAATATGGGAACTGAAGAACTGGTTAAAATGGTGTCTGAGTACAGGATCTACAGTTTTGGCTCAGCACTTAAAATGTCATTCTTGGCTAGTGATTTAGCACATTTCACAAGGTCTGGTAAAAATATGTTTATCTGGAGTCTCGCAAATTTTATCAAGAGAATTTTAAGCTGAAAATGTAAGTGGAAAGAGAAAACCACCCATAAATATCTGCTAAGACAGTTACCATAAAGAGTAGCAGTTCTAGCAGAAGATGACTGCCAATGAATCACAGGAAATGTTAACTGAAAGACTCAACAATAAAACTCATGGCTTCAGAGATAGTCACATAACTGTGATCTTTTGTGCCACTTCCCCCATCAGATCCCACTTGAGGGTTGAATACCCTGAGGGATGACCCCTGGTTCAAGGTATTCTCTGGGCATATACTCCTAAAACTTTAGCTCATGGGTCCCCATCAACGTATCTACTTTTCACCAGTCCTACAGGCAACACAATTAGCTCAAAGCAAAGGCATTTACTGAACACCATAGTTTTAATTTTTTAAAGTGGCAACAAATCATTCTCTATAAACCTTGGGCACAAGTACAAACAGTATACATGGGATGAGCAGACATATAGAGATTACAAGTAGAGGCACACAGGTAGAGAACACGAGCAACCAGGGCACCCGTGAGGAGAGACAACTGGGGTCTCTGATGTTGCAGGGCTACTCTTGATGACGTTGGTCTCGTGGTCTGTACCAGAAACTGTTTCCCTTGATGTTGCTTCATTGATTGCTGGTCTGCTTTCCTTGGCTATACGCTCCATTAGCTCCAGCCTTTGATTCACTTCACATCTTCCCCTGGGATGTGGTGAAGCTTCTTTAATGAGCTCATTTCAAAAAGAGCAGCCACCCTCACCCTAGGACCAGCAGATAGCTTTTTAGTTCTGTTTCCTCAGATTCTAGACTGAGGTCTTCTATCTACTAAGGCAGGAGATTCCTAGCTTCTGGTGCTAAATTATCTGTAATGAAAGTCCCTGTAAATTGTTCCTCCCAGATTAGCCTTTTCTTTTGACTACAAAGATCTGATCCTCTTCAATTAGAAACTTCACCTACTGATTGTAGACAATTTCCGAATCTGCATCTTTACAGACGAGGCCAGACAATGGCCATTTACCCAAAAATTACCCAACCGCCCCAGGGTTCAAGGTTATACAGTTTTCAAATGCTGCATCTCTCCCACTCATCTCAATAAATGGGAAGATGGAGAAAGTGTAGAGGCAATTTATATGGGGTAGGGCGTGGAGGGCAGAGAAGGAATGGGAATTCCTTGTCTCTGTCCAACTGCTCTGCCACATTCCCAACCTTTTCAGATGCAAATGTGGCAAACTGCAAATGGAACCACTCAACATCTGATAAAGGTGTCAGATATGGGTAATTAACAAGGTAAATCAATAAGATTTATATAGTGCTTAGCAAATATTATCTCATTTTATTTTTACAACAACCCCGGGAGGCAGATGCTATTATTATCCCCTCCTTACACATAAAGAAACTGAATTTTGCCCAGGGTCACATAGCTAAAATCTGGATTTGAACTCAGGTCTTCCTAACTCCCGGTTCAGTGCTCTAGCCACTGAGCCACCCAGCTGTTCCCTAATTGGCTATCTAAATATATGAAAGCAAATTTGACCTCATAGGAATTACTGAAATTTGGAGGAGTAAAACTCATGACTAGAATCTAGTTTATGCAAAAGTTTTATTCAGAATTCTAGTTTATTCGGAATAAATAAAAGGACAAGTAAAACAGCCTTATATTGTTAGAAGATACACTCAGGTGAGGAAATATAGGAATTGGAGTCAGGAAGCATGATAGAGAGGATTTGAGTAAGGAACAAGGAGGGAATATTGTTATGGGAGTATCTTGCAGTCTGCTTAGACAGAAAGGAAAAAAAGAAAAGAAAACGTTGGGAAACAGATCATAAACCTAGCAGAGGCACAGCATAGTAGGGATGGGGGACTTTAATCATTCAGACATCTGCTGGGTTTCCCCCTCTGCCAAAAGCAAAATAGCCGATAAATTCTTGGCTGTCTTAAGAATCACTTCAGCCTTCAAAATTTGGAACGAGTGACAAAGGGAGCCTGCTAATGGAAGTGATTTTGACCAATAAAGAAATCTGGTTGATAAAGTAGAAATGATGGAAGCAAGCCCTAGGAGGATGAGATCACCCCAAATAAAAATTAAAGAGAGGACAGGAATAAAGCTCAGCACTGTAGATTTGGGGAAGGGAAAGTTAGGTTCAGGGAAATTCAATGAACCAAAATTTTTTAAGGAAAGGAGACTCATAAAGAATGAAATTCTAACACAAACCCAAACACTTCCAGTGAGGCTGAAAAGGGAGACCTTTTTAAAGGGCTCAAGAGGAGATGCACAGGGAACTTATAAAGCAACTTAGATTTTAATTTCAATAAACATTTGTTAAATGTCTCTTATGTGCAAGGCACTGTACTCAGTTTAGGGATACAAAGATGAATATAAAACAAAACTTTTCACCAAGGGGCTGCCTTCTATTCAGGAATGCAGCACATACACACACAAATAAGCTAATATAAGGCAGTCTGAGGAGGGAACAGGCACCAACATCTGAGGGAAATCAGGGAAGGATTCATGAAGATGGTGACAAAATCCAAGCTTACATTATACTGGGAGGGATCTTCTGTTCCCCCAAACTCTCTGCCGTGCCTTCCCTCTGGTTCCTGGATTTTTTTCACATGACTATATCCTCTTAATATACATCATCTATTGGATTTAGCATGGAAGTTGGAGTCAGGAAGAACCCGGTTCGAATCCAACCTCTGGCAAAATATTATCTGTGTGACACAGAACAAACCTTTAACTTCTCTGTGCCCCAGTTTCCTCATCTGTAAAATGAGAGGAGTGGACTGCAATGGGTTCTAAAGACTCTTCTGGTGCTAAAAACCATGATCCCTGTTTTGCAGGTGGGGATACTGAGGCTGAGAGAGGTTCAATAATTTGCCCAGGGTTGTCCAGCTTTTAAGTATGTGAGACAGGGACCAAACTCAGGTCTGACACCAAGCTCCACACTCTATCCACTGCACTACCTAGCATATCGTGCGTGTGTGTGTGTGTGTGTGTGTGTGCGTGTGCGCACGCCTGCGTGTGTGCATGTGTGTGTGCGTGTGTGCGTGTGTGTGCGCACATGTGTGTGTGCGTGTGTGTGTGCATGCGCGCGCACCCTTCTTGTAGTATTCTCTAGCACACTTCTCACCTTTACTTTTCCCTCTCAGTAACGCAGCAGATTTCCTCAGAGGTGGAGGGAAGTGGAGTTGGGAAGAGCAGGAGTTGTCCAATTTTTATGTTAAAAGGTTTTAAGAGATAAGGTAAGAGTTAAGGACCTATCTGTGAGGACTGGTAAAATTTGGACAACACTGATTCAGAAGGTAAGAGTATATACTATCAATTTAAAACAAACATGCAATTGGAGTACAAGTCTACTGGACTAAACTTAACTTCAACTTCAAACTTAACTTCAAAGTAAAGTTGTAAATGTTTTAAAATGAATAGATTGGGGTGATACTTTGACATTGTTGGAATCCCAGGTCTTTTCAATTTATGTAAAAAATGTAAATATACTGTCACATATAACTAAATTTTAAAGAAAACACTACAATTAATTTTTTAGGCGCAACAAAATTCATCAACACATAGTACTTTAATTCATAATTCAAACATAATGGAAAAGTATGAAAAACTTGGTAAGATTGGAGAAGGATCTTATGGCGTTGTATTCAAGTGCAGAAATAAAAGCTCTGGACAAGTTGTGGCTATTAAAAAATTTGTGGAATCTGAGGACGATCCCATTGTTAAGAAGATAGCATTAAGAGAGATACGTTTATTGAAGGTAGGTAACTTTGACTGAATAGTCCAGAATGTCATGAAATTTCAGTGCAGTTCCCATGCACAGTGTAGTTTTTGGGAATTTCTTGAGTCTGGGAAATACTTTTGTTATCCACATATTTTCACTGTATAATAGTTTTCAATTATATATTCAGAGAAGCATCATGGCATCACTATGATAGAGCGCTGACCTTGGGGTGAGGAAGAGCTAGTTTTAAATCCTGCCTTTGACACTAACTGGCTATGTAATCATGGACTGATAGATGGATAGATAGATAGATGTATATACCTGTGTATACATGTATGTATACATATGTGCATGTGTGTGTATACATGTACACACATACATTTGTTCTAATGGGATTTGACCTGTTTGGATTTGTATAATTCAGAAATATTAAATATAAGGTTTAAAAAAAATTTTTTTTGAGGCATTGGGGGGTTAAGTGATTTGCCCAGGGTCACACAGCTAGCTAATAAGTGTCTGAGGTCACATTTGAACTCAGGTCCTCCTGACTCCAGGGCTGGTGCTCTATCCACTGTGCCACCTAGCTGCTCCTGTAAACTTTTTTTAAAAAGTGTTGAATCATTCAATTTTAGAACAGGAAAGAGCCTTAGAGATCATCTAATCCAGCTTCTTTATTTATAGATAAGGAAACTGAGGCCCAGAGATCGGATGATGTATCCAAGGTCATGTAGCTGGGACTAGAATGCCCTTTTTTTCTGAATCCTAGGACAATGCCCCCTTCTACCATACATTACTTCTCTCCTCCAATCTATACATATTTTGAAGTGTGATTCTTTGTCAGCGTTAGCTTCTGGGTCAACCAGAACTATTTAATATGCTGTTGTGACTACTACATTAAATAACTAAACAACTTCTCTGGTTTTTTGAAACTAAACTCATAAAACAGTGTCATTAATCACATTACTAAAGGATTCTTCCCTTCTTAAAAGATTCACTCCCAGCAGCTTCTACTGAATATATTTAATATTTAAAATATTTATTTAAAATTTAATATTTTAATATCAAACACTTAAACATTGCATATTTAAAATAAGATTTGATTTACATGCATTTTTTCGCTAAGAAGACTGTTTGTAAAACAACATACAGTGGCACTGTACTTAGTTTTGGTACTTAATTTTAAAAAAAGCAATGCAATGGTACTTCTTGGTCCACAGCTTTCTATGTTCCTTGAAAGATGTTCTTTGGTTTTGCCCTTGTCTACCAGTGTAGAATGAGGTCTGCTGATTCCAGCTGTGTGCTTACTTCTCTTGTTAAGGTTTAGTTCAAACTAAGCTCCCATAACTCCTTGTCCCTTAAAAGCTGATCCTGGAGATTCTGAAAGGGAGAGATGGAGAGGAAATACCTGAACCACTGCTGTCCATAGTCAACCTAACTTGGTGCCTGGCATTTGGATTCCTGGCACCTGCATTTTTCCTGGATCCCCAAGTTTGAATGAGCTACTTATTCTCCCTATAGGAAGGCTATGTTAATTATTTAGTTATATTATTCTTTATTTCTGATACTTTTCTATTACTTTCTTGGTTCTCCTATTGTCTATCTTATTTAACAAGGAGCCTTCCAGATGGGCATCAGGCATACCCACATGACCCAGGGTGATATTAGCCTTTGATGCTATAAAAAGAATTCCTATATTAGGTGGAAAATTAGTCCCAATGATTTCTCAGTTTCCTTTCAACTCTAAGAGTCTCTGAATCTTATTTAGAGAGGGATATGTGTGAACTGTTGTATCTCAATGGTCAGGTGAGGCACGGGGAATGTTTAGCAGAGTAGGGGCCATGAAAGGGATAATTGCTCAGAGTAAATCATTAGATATTATATTGTGGTTCTTTTTCAGCAACTAAAGCATGCTAACCTTGTGAACCTCATTGAGGTGTTCCGACGAAAGCGGAAAATGCACTTGGTTTTTGAGTACTGTGATCATACTCTTTTGAATGAGCTGGAGAGAAGTCCAAATGGGTGAGTTCTGGGGAAGCTTAAAGCCTACAGGGCCATATTTCTTTAACTGTATGGGGATCACAAGTGGCTTTCCTCTTCTCCAACCTGTGCCATCTCCCCCAAATACAACGAGGAGCCCTCAGAGAATAAAAACTAGTGGAGAGATAAATGAACCTGGAGCCAGGAAAATTTGGGCTTAAGCCCCCCTCTGAAATGTGCTGGGTGACCCTAGGCAATTCTCTAAAAGTCTCAGTTATAGAGATGTCTAACTCTCATTGATAGAGGAAGTTCCTTACCAGGAGCTGTCTCCCCCAATGAAGTTATAGATCCAATACATGTCTCGATCCCTAACATGTAGGAAGACAAATCTGCTTATGAGCAAAAAATCATATTATGTATAATAAAGCTAGATACAAATGTTTTTGGATTGCTAACATTCTGCCCTCCGCTATTAGTGAGGATAATAATAATAATAATAATAATGATGATGATGATGATGATAATGATAATAATAATAATAATAGCTAACATTTACATAGGGTAGCTAGGTGGTATGATGGATAGAGTGCCAGACCTATTGTCACAAAGACTCATATTCTTCAGTTCAAATCTGGCCTCAGACATTGACTAGCTATGTGACCCTAGGCAAGTCACTTACTTGTATTTGCCTCAGTTTCCTCATCTGTCAAATGAGCTGGAGAAGGAAATGACAAACCACTCCAATATCTTTGCCAAAAAAATCCCAAATGGGGTCACAAAGTGTCAGATACAAAATGAAACAACTGAACAACAACAGTATTCATATAGTGCTTACTTTGCGTCAGGTGCTGTGCTAAGTACTTTATAATTATCTCATTTGATCCTCACAACAACCTTAGAAATTAGATATATTATTATCCCCATTTTACAGATGAGAAAACTGAGGAAGACAGAAATTAAGTGACTTACCCAGGATCACACAGCTAGTAAGTGTCTAAGGCTGGATTTGAACTCGTTTCTTCCTGAGTACAGGCCCAGCACTCTATCTACCATACCACTGAGCTGCCTCTTAATTAAAAAAAAAAAAAGAATTCATATGTAACTTAAAATAGCTTAAGATTATGGGTCTGTATCCACTCTTTCATAGTCCTTGAGCCCCTATCAATGTATTAATCTTTTCTAGTCAGCCAGAAAGCACAATTAGTTCTAAGCAAAGTATAATAAGAAAAGTAGTAATAGAAGATCTCAACTCTTTTCCACCTATACCCAGGGGGTATACATGTAGGGAATGTGTGGAGAGGTACATATGCAAGGAATGTTTGTGACCTAGGAACACGTATGAAGGGGAAACACACCTCCAGCATTATAGGGCTGTACGTCAAGGCCACTGATGTCTTGTCATCATACTGCTTCTAATGCACCTGCCTCGCTGAGGCTGCCGTGCAGTCTCATCTTGCATGCAATCTCTGCCAAATGTGTAGTCTACTCGCTATGAAGCCTCTGCTGGGCATTTCTCACTGCTCATCTCATACCGGTCCTGCAATTACTGCCAATCTCCACTGGGCACATGGTGGTAAACTTATTCTCTGCTTCCATCTTCTGCCTTCAGCTGGAATCCTCAGGTGAGACGCTATCTCATCGGAAGAGTGGGTTCTGCCATGGTGTGTTTAAAGTCCAGAAGTTTTCTTGCTGAGGTTCCTTAGGGGGAAGAAAAAAGCAGAAGCTCTAATACACCCAGTCATCTCACTAGGGAGCAAAAGCTTTCCTGGGGATTAGGGAAGGGAAGAAGGGAAAACTTTCCAGTTTTTATGGTTTTTTTTCCATTTCTGAGCTATGTCTGGAATGGACATTTCTCTTCCAGAAGGAAAAAAATACCAGGCTCTTACTGCAGGTAAGTTAAACCCTCAGGTTTAAGTCTATTTTTTCAATAAATACTCTTATTTCCTAGTCAAAATGGAAAGAGAGCAGCCTCTAAGCAACGAAGACCTGGTTCAAGTTCTGCCCCTTATACAACCTGGCTGTGTGACCCTGAGCAAGTCATTTACCCTCGGGACTCTAGGCAACTTTCTAAGACTATAGTTTGAGAAGGTGCTGATGTACATCTTCTCAAGGTAGAGGGGGTTTCCTCACCTGGAGCTCCTTATACCAGCTCTAGACCCTATCCATTTCCCTGTGTCCTAGTCACTGAAGACTCTGTCTCTACCAGAGACTCTTCTCTGGTAGGAGAGCGTCAGAAAGTCTAGGCTGCTCCCTATTTAATTCCTAATCGGTGAATATTTTACTGGCTACCTGCCCAACATAAAGCCAAGGATTCTGTGGGGTTCTGCACACCCCATATTTTCAATTCCAGAACTCTCTTGCTCTCCTATGTAGGTGAATAAGGTGGGGAAAAGTGTTGAAGCAAAAATAAATTCAAATGGCAAGACCATTTTCTCTTTCTTTCCTAATCCATTCCTAGTCTTTCCTAGGTTTGTGTGCTAACTTATCTTTTCTAAGCTTACTGTACAGTTGCATCTTATTTGTCCAGTCTGACCTGACCCAACCTCTGGGATGGAGCTGAGGAGTAGGAGCTGATGAGGGGCAAGGAGGAGAGAGAGAGAGAGAGAGACAATCTCACGGTTAGGGGCCTAAAGGTCTCAGCCACAGATACAGAGAGACCTTTAAAAATAAGTATGAAGAGAAACCCTATCTATATCTAGAGAAAGAACTGATAAATAGAAGTATATATAAAATAATTTTACACTTATATGTAAATGGTATTTGTGTCTAAGAAAAAGAAGGAAAAAAAAGAAATTTTCATGATAACTTTATTATATATTTAAAAGGAATAGCAAGTTGTACATAATACATTTGCAGTTTCATTTGTAATCATCTTTTTTGTTATGCTGTGTTATGGAAATGCTTGTTTTATTCCATAAATTTAAAGTAAAATAAATTAAAAACAATTTTTTATAAAAAGGTGAGTATTTGGAGTAGCAGTGAATTCCAATAGCAGCAACACCAGAGAAAGGCTTAGGCTAAAGGAGGGTCTGTGTCCACTGCCGTTGTCAAGAGGTCTTTGCCAGGCTACTTGATCAGTGGTAGCACACAAGATGGGGGTTTGGGTCAAGGTCAAAATCAAAAGTAATAGGTCCATAGGGAAGTGATAAGCAGAGGACAGGGTCAAAGGTAGGTATTACTGAGTGTAGAAATCTATGGGCAATGTCAATTCATTCAGACTGATAACATGAGTGCCCTTTTGAGCTGAATAACTCAGCATTGGTCCTTCTCTGTCCTCCGTTCTACTGAGGCACAACAGAGCTGTTATGGCCAAAAAGAGACTCTGCCCATAACCAGCTGGGTGAGCTGGGGAAATCATCTAAACTCCCTAGGCCCTGATTTCCTCATTTGTAAAATAAAAGAGTTATTTTTTTTCCTCTTTCATTTTTCTCTTTCAGAGTTGTTGTTGTTCAGATGTTTCAGTTGTGTCCAACTCTTCATGACCCCATTTGAGGTTTTCTTGGCAAAGACACTGGAGTAGTTTTTTCCATTTCCTTCTCCAGCTCATTTTATAGATGAAGAAACTGAGGCAAACAGGGTTAAGTGACTTGCTTAGGGTCACACAGCTAGGAAGTATCTGAGGTCAAATTTGAACCCAGGAAGATGATTCTTCCCAACTTCAGACTCAGTACTCTATCCACTGCACCACCTAGCTGCCTTCTCTTTCAGAGTTGTGAAGTCCAAAGATCTGTCAATATTTTAAATGTAATGTGTGCATTTGGATTCTTTGGAGGGGGGAAAGTCTTTAAAGATTTTTTCATTATATTTTAAGTGACCGTATTTAGATAGCTGCACAATCTTTGTATCTATGAACGCTTTTAATAATTTTGGATTGTATGGGCTTACTTAGGCAAAGATGAAGGGGAAAAAGTTAAAGGAGAAAAAGCATGGGTGGTAACATGGCAAGAGTAAGGAATAACCAAGCCCAGACGTTCTCTGGATTTCCTTTCAACATCAAGGGACAGGGAGGAAGGTCACCAGAACATTGAGTGGGCCCCATGGCAAGGATTAGACAGGAGCAAAAAATGCATAAGGTAAGTGGAAGCAGGCATCAGTGACCCACAATTTGTGTGAATGGATGGAATACTCGCAGTGATGCACTCACAGATTCATTTGAAGATTTAAGGCAAGGTAGAACAGAAAGAACCCAAATGAAGGGTCTCCATGAAAGTTAGAATATTTTGTTTCTGGATTTGGTGTCTTTTTTTTTTTAACTACCTTTAATAATATCAGTAGCTCAAAGGCATACCACAGTATTCCTCTCATAGTCAGTCTCCTACTTACAGACAACCTCTCTACCTCTCTACCCCTCCTTCCCCTCTCTGCTAGAGCCCCCATCCCTCATTCCCATGAGTCCCCCCCCTTTACTTCCACTCTGCCAGAACCCAAGGTATTTTCCTGTCTCTGGTAACCAGAATGATTTTCTGGTGAATATTCAGTTATCCAGAACTGTCTTCCCACAAGGATTTCAAGAAGATTTGAGTTCAATTCCTGCCTAAGACATTTATGAACCCCATGCCTTTGAGCAAATCACTTAAGCTTTTTTGGCCTTAGTTTTCTCATCTGCAAAATGGGGATAATAAACGTGCCTACCTTGTAGGGTTTTTGAAAGGCTTAAATCAGGTGACATGTAAAGTGCTTTGCAAATCTTAAAGCAGTATATAAATGCCAGCTTCTCTTATTCTTAATTTGAAGTCAAATTAAAGAAAGATAACTGTAATTAGTAATAGTCAGCCATGGCATTAGATGATGTTCTCCTTTTGCAGTGGTATGCTGGTAAAGGTATAACAACCAGCCCTTCTAAATGTATAACAACCGGCTCTTCAAAAAAAAAGTAAATATGACCCACTTTTAAGTTTAATGTACATTTTTAACATTTCTCCACCCTTTTGTTAAATTTAGAGAGTCAACAAAACAACAAACCAGGCCCTGAGTTGTTGCATTTGCTGAATTCCAAGGTGTAAGATGCTCATACTGAAAATTTAGCAGTTGGCTCTCAAGAGCTGGTGCCAGCTATTTCCAGCAGACCCCTGCCCTTTTGGCAATAGGACCTCACCCTGAGGAATCTTAATGAAGGAGACAGTGGTGTATGGTAGGAACACAAGCCTAGGAGATCAGGATCCTAGACTTGGCTTAACTGTGTGACACTGGGCAAGCCACTATGAACTTCAGTTTCCTCATCCAAAAAGGGAAAATGAGGGAGGTGATTGCTGTTCAGTCACTCAGTCGTGTCCCACACTTCATTACCCTATGAACTGTAGCATGCCAGGCTCTTCCATCCTCCACTATCTCTCAAAGTCTGTCCAAATTCATGTCTATTGTTTCCACGACACTATCTATCTGTCTTATCCTCTGCCAACTGCTTCTATTTATGCTTTGAATCTTTCCCAACATCTGGGTCTTTTCCAGTGAGTCCCATCTTCTCATCACATGGCCAAAGTATTTAAGCTTTAGCTTCAGTATTTGACCTTCCAGTGAATAGTCTGAATTAATGTCTTTAAGTATTGACTGATTTGATCTCCTTGCTGGCCAAGGGACTCAAAAGTCTTCTCTAGCACCACAGTTTCTAAGCATCAATTCTGTGGTACTCAGCTTTCCTTATAGTCCAGCTCTCACAGCCATATGTTGGTAATGGAAAAACCATAGCTTTGACTATATGGACATTTGTTGACAAGGTGATGTCTCTGCTTTTTAGTACACTGTCCAGATTTGTCATAGCTTTCATTCCAAGGAGAAAGTGTCTTTTAATTTCATGGCTGCAGTCGCCATCTACAATGATCTTTGAGCCCAAGAATATAAAATCTGACACTGCTTCCATTTCTTTTATTCCCTTACAAATTCTTAGCATTTTCTAATTCTGTGAATATTTTGGGAACATCCCCTATTCTACTAAAAGCTGCCAAGGAATCATTTACCGGCTTCTCCCAAAGACAAGAGAGAGGCCCAAAGGGCTTTTCCATAGCAAGACTTCATCTAAATTCACTTTTTGTTTCTTGAGCTTCTTCCTCCAATAGATCCTTAAGTATTTATCTTTGCAAAAATCTATTATATTTGAATTCAAGTACTCTAATAAATAGGTCCACATACTCAATCTGAATTAATTCCTAATTGTAAGACTTTCCTGAAGTGTGTTAAATAACTAGGAGCTAAACTCTCAACATGGGAGAAAAGTGTTGATAGAACTTAATAGTCATAAACTAAATACAAATGAAATTATAAGCAGGTTGTCATCTGCCTTCTGAATTTTCCTTCCACGTGACAGCCAGCATTAAGAAAATTGCTGTTTATATAGACAGTTAAAATTAATATTTAGTAAATAATATTTCCCTTTGTTAATTTTTTTTCTTATTTTCCTTTTATTTTTAAGAGTCGCTGACCGTATGCTCAAAAGTGTTTTGTGGCAAACACTCCAAGCTCTCAGTTTCTGCCACAAACATAATGTAAGTTATTTATTAATTTCTTCTGAATTGTTTTTTTCTCCTCTTAATAGTTGATGGCTCTGTTACCTATTTCATGTAGTCACTGGGTTGCTATTTACTATCACTGAGATGATTTTCAAATTAGGTCGGCAAATTTGTTCAGGAAGTTCTTCATGTAACCAAATGTTGCCCTTCGTTTAACCTTTCTAGACCTTGGCAGTTGATGCTAAGACAGGAACAGAACCCACAATGTGGTCAGTTTGGGGCCTGATGCAAAGTGATGCTCTAGACTAAGGGCTGAGCATTAGCCTAGAATCTGAAGATTATGGAAAGAGAGTGAGTGAATAGAGCACCAAATTGCAGTGTCGTAAAATAGACTTTTCTTTAATATCAGTGATGTTTTTTGGTCATAAAAACCTGCAACCTTTATTTCACATTAATAAAATTTATGGGGAATTGTGTTCACAAAATCCATGACTCTGCTCTTCCTTAATGCCGAGATCTATACTCACAAATACTACTGTACAAAAGATGGCACTGAATGAAATCAACACCTCTCTTACTTCCACTAAGCTGTCTCATCAGATATCACTATGTACTGTATGCAGCTGGAGTTTCATGGCCAATTATACTATAATTTCGACATTATGGTTTTCACAGTTGTGCGTGTTTTCTCATTAAACAAGATGCCTCACTGCTGACTCACCTGAATGTGAACCTGTCGGGACAGAGTATCCAAACCTAGAACACATTTCCAGCAGAACCGTCTTCATTTCTTTGCTCTGATTTTTTTTTTAATCTTGAGCTTGAAAACACCTAATTTCATACCTCCTTCTAAAAGTGGATAATTTTTCAGACATGCTTCCTTCCTCCAAGATGAAAACCACTCCTGAATTCTGGTTATCCTGTGCTCCAATGCTATGGTAAGATTTTGTACATTTTAATAAAACGATTCTAAGTTATTTTATTAGTTAGCCAAAATGCATATAGTAGATAAAAATAGTATACAAACCAGGAGTTCTGAACAGGAGTTCTAAAATCTCTGTTCTCATTGTTTTCAAGTGAGCCACAGTACTGCTGTTCTCAGAGGATAGAACTGCTGCTGATCTGACCCAGTGGCCTTGATGAAGATTTCAACAGCAGCTGAAGACACCATGGCAACCCTCACGTCTCCAGTATCTTGATCCTAGCTAAAGCTGTGAGGGTCATTATATGATCACGTAAACCCATATTGACTTGACAATAGCATAAGAAGAAAGAAAATGTCCTACTAGTGCTATTTTCTCTAAAATACCCTGAGATTTCTGCATCATTAGGGAACAAAGAGTTCGTTTGAGATGTGGATAAAGAAGATTCTTCCTCCAATTATAAGAAATACAGTACTTTTTTTTTTTGACATGGAGGTTTCTGGAACAGATCATGAAAATCAAGTTAAAGATGAACCATAGCCCCCATAGCCTGACATCAATGGTGTTAAAAGCTTTTGTGTCAAATCAAAGTTTATTAAAATGGTTTTTGCTACATTTATCCCTGTGTTTTTTATTCTTCAGAGGAAAATAAGCTAACTGCAAGCGGGAGAAACACTGCATAAAGAGAGTTTGCTTTGATTGTGGAATTGCCTATGTGCCTAAATATTTCAATATTAAGGGCTTCTAGGTAATGGAGTAGATAGAGCACTGGATCTGGAGTCAGGAAGTCTCACCTTCCGGAGTTCAAATCTGGCCTCAGATACTTCATAGCTGTGTGACCCTGGGCAAGTCACTTCACCCTGTTTGCCTCCATTTCCTCATCTGTAAAGTGAGCTGGAAAAGAAATTGGCAAACCAGGCTAGTATCTTTGCCAGGAAAACCCCAAATGGGATCAAAAAGAGTCAGACATGACTGAACAACAATAACAACAGTTTCAATGTTGGTCCAACCATCCCTGTTTGGTGCTTTCTCTAGACCTCTCACAGCATCTTGTTCCAGCTGTTGTCTTAACCTCCTTTCATTATTTCCTAGTATTTTGCCTCATACTGTATCTGCACCATCAAGCATATCTGGATATTTACATGATAATAATAACACAATTATAACAGCACTTTAAGGTTACAAAGCCTTTTCGTGTTATCTAATTTGATATTCACAACAACCCATAAGATAGTTCATGCAAGTATTATTATTATTATTACTATTATCATTATCTCATTTTATAGCTTTGGAAACAATGGTGTATCCAAGGCCACACAAGCCAGCACCTAGTGCAGATGGTTCTCCTTGGCGCTAAGCCACTGATTGTTCCAATACACTCTGACGACTACTAACATTAGAAGGATAGCAGTTTAAGAATACCTCAAAGGACCAGATGTCATCATTTAATGATGTGCATTGGTTTAATCCATAAGGCAAAAAAAAAAGAGATGGGATGAAAATGTTTATTTCAAAAAATCAAAATAAAATTATAATAAAATTTTTGTATCAATTTGCAATCCTGGTAGGCATATCAATATTTTACTTACATGTGCATATTCTAGTTTAAATAGGTTTTAAAATTTTTCCTAATGCCTTTGCATTAGACTGGGGAAGATGAGATACAAATCTTTTTGAGCAAATGAATGTCTGTTAAATATATTCATTTGCCTGTTGATGCCATGTGTAAGGTCATACAACTTTTCAGATATGATTTCAGACTTGTACAAAGCATGGCTTTGTTCTAATTTGGATCCAGGGGTGAGGAACCCTGTGGCCTTCAGGCCACATGTGGACTTCTAAGTCCTTAAGTGTGGCCTGTTGCCAGATCACATGTGGCCAGAAGACCACGGTTTCCTTACCCCTGGATCCAGGTTCTATTTCTTTACTTATCGATCTGAAGATTCCATTAACAAAAAGAGGTTTCTGCATATAAAAGAATAATGATCTGTATTCCTTCATAATTCGATACTGCAATTTTACAGATATTAATATATGAGACTCTCTTCTCGCCTATTGGTTTTCGGAGTTAGAAAAAGCTTGGCAGTCTTTGCTGTCTAATTATTAAAGCAAGGGCTTCTATTAGTAGCACCTCTTATGATCAAAAATGAATGACAAGGTTTAGGAGATGAGGGATTTTTTTCCCCCTTTCATTCCAGGGTGACTAGTAGGGAAAAAAAAAGCAGAACACTTTAAGAAAGAAAAATTAACTCTCTTGGAGATTTAAAGGGGTCAATAGAACTGTAGAGTAGGAAAATAACTAATTTCTGCTAAGCTAAATAATTTGGAGCCTAAACTTTTGTCAGTGGCCACACAGACTTATAAAATATACCTCCCAGGGTTGTTTGTTGTGAAGTTCAAATGAGATAATGCATGTGATAGTGTTTTGAAAATTATATATACAAATGTTGAGGTTTTTGTTACCCTTGTACATCCGGCTCTTCTTTTCTGTACTTAGCATGGTGCCTTGAATATCATAGATGCTTAAATGTTTTTTGAATGGTGAATGAAAGGATAGATGGATGGAAAGTAAAATGGAAAGGTAATGTGAAGGAGGACTTATACTTGTTTCTTTCACATCCCTTTGCTGAATGCTGATTGACTGGAGATTGACCCTTGCTCACCCGGTATAGAGCACTTTATTCAGAGCAATTATTGTGAAACAAGTAGCTGCTCTTCAGAAGATGGGCCCCAAAATAGGATAAGGAAGTATGGCCCACTTCTCCCAGAATAAATTCCTACCTTGCTGCAGGAGTCTTCTACTTTTGCTGTTCTGGTTGTTTTGTCTGTTAGAGTGTAAGCTTCTTGAGGGCAGGGACTGTCTTGGGTTTTTGTTGTTTTTGTTGTTTTTTTGTTTTTGTTTTTGTTTTATCCCCAGCACTTAGCATAGTGCCAGGCACATAGTAGGTGCTTAATAAATGTTGATTGATTGATTAATTGATTGATTGACATATTACCTGGTAAGGAAGTGAGAGAGGACCAGGTGACCACTGAGTTTTGTGATATAAGTAAATATTTTCAGCTGTGATGAAGACATTTTCCCAAATTACTTTGCCCAAATCAGAAACATGTACTGTATTCACTCTGGACCTATCACCAATGCCGAAGAAAAAGAAGTTCACTTTTAAAGTGTGCAAGGACTCGCCCAGATGGGAAAGTGTTTGGTCAGCAAATCACCTTGTATTGTACACTTGAGTAAATGTGTTAAGAATAACAATAAATAACACAGTGTTCATTTTTTAACAGCAAAGCTGGGCTCGCTTTGTATAACTTACACCTCCGAAGATTAACTTGGGTTCCAGCAATCCAACAGTATTCTGGTTTGGTTTTTTTCCTTCTCATCATCAAGGACAAAATTGCCAGGATTGTATTTCCTTGGTACAAAGGAGTGAAACCTTTCTTTGTTTTTTCTCTGTTGGGTTTGGTTCATCCGTTATTGGAAATTCTCTGTTGATATTTACCAAGTCTTCCTTTTACTGCTTCAGGGGATAATGAGATCTCCTTTCACAGTGTATTCACAGGGATGTCAAACCTGAAAACATTCTGATAACGAAGCAAGGGACGATCAAGATCTGTGACTTTGGATTTGCTCGACTTCTGAGTAAGTAGCAACATCTTGACATTAAATTTCCCTATTCAGTCAGTTACAAGATAAGATACAGATTAGTTATAAATACATACATTGACAAATAGGATGCGATGTATATGCATACATACATAAATATATGTTTATGCATGTATGTGTATATAGGAGTGCATGTATGTGTATTATATATGTACGTATACCCACATGTGTGTATACATACATATATGCTTCATTTTTACATTCATGTGGAATTTTACTCATTTATATAGAATTTTTGCATGATCTTAATCTATGAAATGTATTAGTTTAGGAATTAAATCTATGTTATAATAAAGTATTTGAATTTTCAAGGAGACAGACCTGTAACATTAGGGGGATTGAATGTGTAGGAATTCAAGTCTATTAAATATTTGTCAAACAAATCAAAGGGCTACAAGGTATGTAGAGACAGTTTGGTGACAGAGTCAGTTAAAGGGTAAGACCTGGTGTCTGGAACTCCTGAGTTCAAATCTCCCGTCTAATGCTTACTGACTGTGTGCCTCTGGGCAAGACACTCAACTGCTGTCCGCCTCAATTTCCCTATGTATAAAATGGGGATAATAATAGCGCCTAATTCCCAGCATTGTTATGATGATCAAATGACATCATCATTATAAAGTGCTTTAAAGAAACCTCTAAGCGCTATGTAAATACGAGCGATTATTATTATTATTGACCAGATCTCTGTCTTGTTCTACTTTATGCCCAAGTCGCTGTCTTAGTTTCTTGCCTCGCACCAATCTGAGGTCATCTCCTTACTTGTAAGCCTTTCCACGAGTCACTGTCCCCACGGCTGGGTCCCCATACCTGCTGCCAGATCTCTCTAATACCTGCACAGCTCTGTCTTTTGCCTGAAGCTGCCCCTCTCTTAGCTGTTGGCCTATCCATCCAAGCTACATCCTAAGGCCTGCTCTTGTGACTTTCCCCAATGGGCATCTGGTATTCAGATCCAGATATCCAGGGTCAAATAAGATAACATTATTGGAGTAAAAGTGCTTTGCAAACTTTAAGTATGTAAATGTATATTTATATAAATTATTATAAATTAAATATATAAATGCATATAAATATATAAATGCTATCTATTTTTATTAATCATCATCGTCGTCGTCTTCTAAGGATATAAACTATAAGACATAGTTTCTTCCCTAAGGAGCTAACAATCTAATTGAATAGACAAAACATCACACACTTAAAACAGCTAATAACAATGATGATAATCAATAATAACAATAGCTAGCATTTATGTAGTACTTTAAATGGAAAAGAACTTGACAAATATGATCTCATTTGATCTTCACAACAACCCTGGAAGAGAAGTGCTATTAGTATTCCTGTTTTACAGATGAGGCATACAAAGGTCAAGTGATTCACCCAGGGTCGCACAGCTAGTAAATGTCTGAGGTCAAATTTGAACTCAATTCTTTCTGGCTCCAGGTCTAAGGCTTTCACCCAGGGGTGGGGAACCTGTGGCCTCAAGGTCGCACGAGGACCTTTAGGTCCTTAAGTGAATACCTTTGACTGAACCCAAACTTCACAGAAGAAATGGTCCTCTAGGTCCTCAAGTGCAGCCCTTTGACTGAATCCAAACTTCACAGAACAAATCCAAAAGGCCTTGAGGTTCCCCACCCCTGCTCTAGCCACTGTCCAACCTGGCTGTCTCATTTGAATCACAATTCAAGCTGCATGTGATTTAGTGCCTATGTACAGATAATAAATGTTTTGAGGAGGGAGAATTAAATGTGGACTAAGGTAATCAGAGAAGGCTTCATTTATGAGTTAGGATTTGAACATAACTTTGATGGGTCAGAAAGGAGACAAGGGGCATTTCAGGAAGAAGACATTAAATAAGTCCTTAAGGTGGGAATAAGCATGGCATGTTTGGAGAATACTGAGCAGGCTGGCCTGGCCACAGCAGGGAGTTTCTATTATGGAATAGTGGTGATAAAGGGATAAAGGTGTACAAGTCGGGTGGGGCTAGATTATAGAAAAGATTTTAATATAGTCAATGATGTTTCTAAATGTGACCTTACATCATAGAAAATGAGTCGTCTTTCTTCATTTGTGCCTTTGCTAAGTGCTTATGGCCAAAAGAAATAAAATTATTTTCTCCTCTCCAATCTAGGCAAGCAGAACTATGCATTTGGGCACTTGGTCATTTCATATTGAGTAAAGGGATTTTTCTCTGTCAATCTACCCCCTATGCAGATTATGAGCAGGGAAAATGACCTGGGATGTGATTGTAAGCTCCTTAAGGGAGGGTCTGTCTTTTTCCTCTTCTTGTACCTTAAATGTTTATAATAAACAAAAAAAAAGAAATATTTAGCAATTGATTGATTGAGAAATACCAGTAAGCAAAGGATTGAATAGGGCTTATAGTTACCTGCATTCTGCTCATTACCTAGGAATGCAGCAGGCATGAGAATGTGGGTATCAGCAGCTGTCCACATGGGTCATACATCTTAATGATCATTAATTAGATAGTTTGGGTGACTTTTAATTTATGTTGTTGAATTGCTCTGGGTTGACAATTGTATGCAATAGAACAGTAGGCTGGTTTAATTCTGAAAAAATATCTCACAACAAACTTATTTTCTTTTCCTCTCTAACTAATTTCTGTATGTTAAAAGGATGCCTTCTAAAGTTGGGACATTTAAAAGCTAATTCTCCTAAGGCTTTGTGGTACTACTGAATTTTGGAAATAAACACCTTTAGAATACTATGATAGCACAATTAACAAAGCTGTTTCCTTTGAATTTTATTTTGAATTTGCATTTGATGCCTTGTACAGGTCCAGGGGATGCCTATACTGATTATGTTGCTACGAGATGGTACCGAGCACCTGAGCTTCTAGTAGGAGATACACAATATGGTCCTACAGTAGACGTGTGGGCAGTTGGCTGTGTTTTTGCTGAGTTGTTGACTGGCCGGCCCCTCTGGCCTGGAAAATCAGATGTGGATCAACTCTATCTGATCATCAGAACCCTGGGTATGAATAGCATTCTGTGACTTGCAGAGATTCTCAAATGTTATTAAAAAAAAAGAGAGAGAGAGAGATCAAAAAAGCTTGCTTTTCTTTCATTACCCCAGCATCTCCAAAGCGTACAGCTATCGAGCATAACCATTCAGGATTATAGCCAGAACCCAGGCTGACTCTTCTCATATGCAAATAATAACTCTCTCTGAGGAATTTCCAGATCACTTTTCAGGAACAATCAATTAATCACAGACCTTACCAAGCAGATACTTCCCATACCTGGTTGAGATAGGAACATGGAGATGAATCAGCTGGTTAGAGCTTGATCTAAGCAAGAAATATCTGATTGGCCAGCAGTTTCTGTCCCCTAAATTAAGGAGTTCCCTTTCCTCCCTACCCCTCAACACCCTAGAGGTTTTTCATCTACTTGTGTTCCCTGCTGTGGCTGTTCCTGAATTCTAAAACAATAACTGTGATTCAGAGCATGGCTTATCAGAGATTTGCATCATGCATAGAAACTGCAGGATTTTAACTGTAATGTGCACCCTGCTGGTTAATCCCATCTTGCTTATTCTTGTGCTTGAGGTTATTATGCCTGAAGACCACTTAGCTTCTTCTGTTGCAGCAGGATCTTAATTTAAAGGTGTTGCCGAGGGTGTGCTGGAGTCAGCTTGAACAGGCTCTGAGAACTGATTGTGAAATTTTCAGTGTGAGTGTTTACATCTCAGAAATTGGCAAATGCTACAAGTCAAGACTTGATTTATTGTTTTGTTGATTGTCTAAACTTAAGAAAGTGATGGAGGAAATGTTAATAATGCAAATTAAACTTAAAAATGTGTCCTGTGTCTATTTATCTGGTAAGCTCATTGTTAAACATTTAACAGCTCACTCCTGAGTATTTTCTGCAAGAGAAACAGTATGGCACAGAGGGAGTGAATACTACGAGGTGCCAAGCACTATGCTAAGCACCCTCCCTTTTTGTTGTTAAACAATATTATCCTCACAATTATCCTGTAAGATAGGTGCCAATTTTATGCCCAGAGGTTAAGTGACTTGCCCAGGATCACACAGCTCATGCGTGTCTAAAGCTGGCTTTGAACTCAGGTCTATTCTGACTCTAAGCCCAATGGTCTACCCATGGCACCACCAGCTGCCTTTTGTGACTAGAAGTCTGGTCTTGCAAGCCAGGAAGACCTGGGTTCATATTTTGCCTGTGTATCATTTTAACTTCTCATGACCTCAGCCATTATAACTCTAAAATTATAAGTTGCAAAGTAGAGAAAATAAAACATATAGTGATTACAGTAACGTAAATGGAAAGAATGAATAAAATTGAACACTATATAATTACAATAACTGATCTTGACCCCAAAGAAGAGTTGAAAAAGCATACCTTCTTCCCTCATTTGCAGAATTCGGGGATGGGGGTGGGGACTGTGGATATGGAACACTACATATACTTTCAAAGATGTCTGATGAATTGGTCAGTTTTGCTGAATTGTTTCTCCCTCCACCCTCTCTTTTTTGTTCTTTGTTATAAGGGATGGCTGCCTGGGTAGGGGAGAGGGAATTAATCTATTCATACATGAAAGTGATAGAAAAATAAAAGCTATCAATAAGAATTTTTAAAGTAGCAAACTGGTGGTTCCATATGCCTATGTAATCGCTGCTTGGACTCCCCCTTACCCCCCAAAAAGCTTACATAGCACATTTTGCTCCTTAGCTTCTAGCTTTCATAGAGGCATCTTTACTATGAGAAGGAGCACATCATTTGAATCTAATGAGAAAATATTTCTAAACTGCTTAGCACAATGCATAGCACATAGCTGTAATTATTAATAATCATGGATATTTTAGAGACCATTTCTTTCCCATTTATCAACATCATATGGAGGAATTAGGAGAATGTTAATTTCTCTTAAGTTTACTTGCTATCTTGTATTACCAAGAGCCCAGTTCTAAGCCACAGTGGGGTATTAAGCCCAGGAGTTCCACTGACTTGCCTCCTGGATAGAGAAAACTTCTCCAAAGTTCCCAAGCAATTGCAATTGGGGCCACCTGACCAATAAGTGAATACCACAAAGTAGCATGACTCTTGGGTTGCAGAATTACTTCAGCCTGTTTTACTGGTGGGTCTTTCCAGCCTGGCCTATCGAGTACTCAGGTACTTAAGGCACACCCATTGTTGGGGTACCTGCAGCACAGAAAATGTAGGGTGCAGTGTTACCATAAGCCATGCCATGTGCTTCTGATTCTGTCCCTCAAAAAGAGAGACAGAGACAGGGTCAGAGATATTCCTTTACACTTGCCTGTTCCACTCAAAACTGGGAGAAAAATCAGTCCAACTTTTCTTTCATATCTGGGCCATAGGAAGTAAACTTTTAAAAAAAATGCTGTGACTCCATTACTAAATTTTTGTTTACTCTATTTTGATATTTTATAGGAAAACTAATTCCGAGGCATCAGACCATCTTTAAAAGCAACCAGTTTTTCCATGGCATAAATATACCAGAACCAGAAGATATGGTATTGTATGCCCCTTGGGGGATTTGATCCTTCATGAGCTTTCTTCTTTCATATGTGTATGTTTGCAGTGTGTGATTTTAGGGGTGGACAGGCGCGTGCCACTTATATTTTCCCTGATACCGGTGCTTTTGGCTCCTTTTTTCCCTATCTCATCAATATAATGACTGATGCCTAGATCCCAATTAAGGCAGTAAAGAAACCAAAAGAGCTTTTAAGCAAAAATTCCCTGACCCCTTTTAATCATAGTTTGATGTTAAACTAAAAATAGAAATGTGTTCAGCCTCTTAGGGTCAGACAAGCCCTGACCCTGCTGTGGGCAGTGGAAACAAGTATTGGACCTGGGTTCCAGTCCCATCTCTGCCATTGGGATCATGGGATGCTAGATTTAGAGATGGAAGAGACCCTACGGGCCTTCTGGTCCAACCCCTTTATTTTATAGATAAGGATCTGAGTCTCAGAGGTCACGTAGCTAATAAGTAGATGAACCAGGATCTGTATCCAGGGTCTCAGACGCCAGACCCAGCACACTTCCCATTGTACTGCATGACCTCTAATTAGTTATGTGATCTGAGATTCCATCTGCTCTGTAAATGTCTTGTATGCACATGGCTATATTTTGTCTCCCCCTTTAGAATGTGGGCTCCTTGAGGCCAAGCGCCATATTTTTGCCTTCCGTTGTATCTCCAGCACTTAGCACAGTGTCTGGCATTTAGGAAGAACTTATAAAATGCTTGTTGACTGATTGCCTGACTACCTATCTAGGCCTTCTTTTTCAGTTACTTTGAACTATGACCTCAGCTTGTTTTGTTCAGAAATAATGCCATGGCATTTGGAAGAGAGTAATTCTGAAAGAACAGTGAATATGCACAGCACTTTGTGGCTAAAATAGGTGATAAAATGCTGGAGAAATATTTATATTGCATTGTCACCCAGAAGGCAGGAAACACCAGGAGAAAGGTTGTGGCAAGTAGGCCCAGTTGAGGGCAGCAGAGAACTGTAAGACATCCCTGCTGAGGGATAACCGACCTGCATTGATAGGTATGTACCTAGGAACCTTCATGCTGCAGGTTTCAAGTCCGTATTTGCATGTTGTTGCCCTTACACTATATTTTTTAATATTTAATTTTTTCAGTTAATGAAAATCCATCTCTTCCTCCCACCTCCTGTCTCCCAATTAAAAAAGAAAGAAAAACTAACAAATATGTATAATCAAGAAAAACAGGGACATGTCTAAAAAAGGATATGTCTCAATTCATACTCTGAGTCCATCACCTCATTTTCAAGAGTCAGCTGGCCCGTTTCCTCCTGAGTTCTCTGGAACCATAGCTGGTCATTGTATTGATCAGCATTCTTAAGACTTTCAAAGTTATTTGTCTTTCCCATGCTGTTGTTGTATAAGTTGTTCTCTGGGTTCTGCTCATTTCACTTTGCATCAGTTCATACAGATTTTCCCAGATTTCTCTGAAACTTTTCATCATTTCTTATAACACAATAAATTCCTTCACATTCATATGGTATATCTTGTTCAACCATTCCCCAACGGATGGGCACCCTGTTTAGATTCCAGTTCTTTGCCACCACAAAAAAGCTACTACAAATATTTTTGTACATATGAGTAGTTTTCCTCTTTCTTTGATTTCTTTAGAGATTATTGACTCTATGATAATACCATTATCTTAAAATTATATGCTCCTTCATAGTTACATAGTTCTCTCTACATATACATGTATGTACATATACACATACACATGTATGTATATATACAACACATCCATACACATACATGCATGCATATGCCTATGAACATACCTGTTTATATATACATACAAGCATGCATGTATGTATATGTGTGTATACATACACGTATGTGCATGTATATACATATGCACATACACAAATATATGTACATCTCTGTGTGTATATATGTACACACACACACACACACATATATGATTTTAGTTTCTCAACAACTCCATGAAATAAAGCAGGGAGGTATATTATTCCCATTTCACACATGGGGAAACTGAGGTTCAAGCAGGTTCTCAATTAAGTGATGTGTTCAAGATCAAATACTGAGACTTGAGAGCCTGTTAAAAGGAAGCTAAGACTTTTCAAGTTATAGCCTCAACCTATGAGGAAGGCAGCTGGGAAAGCCACTATTTCAGAATGGATAATAAGTTGGATTAAACATGTTCTGACCAGCATGGAAATTTTGTACTGCATTCTTGCTTTGTGCATTTGAAGCAAGCACCAAAGGTGTTTTGGCATTCTAATTGGAGGAAAGGCTTGTTTGATTGTCTTTTGGTTTTCCCAGGAAATGTGAAGTATTTTCATGACCCTGGCTATAATACACCTAATCACAGCCGACACAAAAACTTGGCCCATAGAGGCTATTTTAAGAGTCGAAGGGAGTCCCGTGCAGGCCCTTCAAATGTGGCTGTTGCCAAGGCTGTCATGGGAGTCACTGGCTCTACAGGACCTCCTTAACTCCTGAGTCAGAGTTAAGCGTTGCACCCACTAGTCCACATTACCGCTCTTTCACTATTATACTAGGCTCCTTTACGAGGGATTTTTAAAATATAGGTCTTTGACACTTTAAAAAAAATTTTTACATGCAGATAAAAATTATTTTTTTCCTTTTTAAAAACAAAAAGAAGGAAAGAAACTTGTTAGATACTACATAAAATATTTTAAAATAAGTAATCAGAGAAAGAAGTGTCTGTGGGGAAAATGTTTTGTCCAGGAATATTTTCTTCTCTTTAGGGAAGATAAATGTCATCCACTGTTAAATTCTTACTGTGGCATATGAATGATTATTCAACAAAATTCCAATCAGTGCATTCATCAGACAAGAATCCAGAGGGAACGTCTCTAAATTCTTTCTGTTGCCCTGATTCAGGAGGCTGGAGGGAGGACAACATAATGAGCTTTCTTCTTGACATTGATTTTCTGTTTTCTTTCAAGTTAAAGTTCGGTGATTGTCTTTAAACCACAAATGGTCTGGAATTTGGCTGTGGAAAGAACTTGCCAGAGAAGGATAACACCTATATTCAGAAACCATACGATTGATGGGAGTACTCTCGCTATGGGAGAAATGCTTAACTTCATTCTTTAGGTTTCAGTCTGAAACCTAATGCCAATCTGGTTGAATAACTATGGATCAGTCACAACTTCAAGATTATTTGCATGAGGGGCTGAGAGGTGGTGCAGTGGATAGGGCACCAGCCCGAGAGTCAGGAGGACCTGAGATCAAATCCCCCCTCAGACACTTAACTGGCTGTGTGACCATGGGCAAGTCACCTATCCCTAAGTGCCTCCAAAAATGGAGGGAAGGGATTATTTGCATGAAGTTCTAAGCAGTAATTATTATAGCTTATATTTCCATAGGAGAGGAGGCAGTGGTGCCATAGAGGATAGAGAGCTGGCCTGTGAACCAGAAAGATGCAAGTTCATCTCCCGCCTCTGACATTTACTGACTGTGAATCATAGATAAATTACTTAACCTTTTGGAGCTCCAGGCAACCCTCTAAGACTATAACTTGCAGAGGAAGTGCCAACTGGTATGGGTAGAGGGAATTTCAGTTCTTCTATAGATCAATGAAAACAACTGATCCCTACCCTACATCAGAGGGTCGATGTGAGGAAAGTTCATTGTAATCTGTGAAGCACTATGTAAATAGGAATGGTCATGCATCATTGGCCATATGATCCTCACAACAACATTGTGGGATAGGTAGGGCAAGACAATGCCTTTTCTCAGATGAGGAGTCTGTGTCTTAGAGAGATGAAATCTAATAAGTGACAGTCAGGACCTCTTTTGACTCCAAGACCAATGCTCTTTCCATCATAGCTTGTGGCCTCTTTTAGAGAGAAACTGAAGATCTAGGTCCCTTAGTGAGGCCAAGAAAGAATCTTCTGGAACAGATGTTCAGACAATGGCCCAAGTTTGTGGACACCCAGAATGGGCTGTCTTTGTTTAATTTGTTCTGATTATTTGATAGATAACAAGTGACACCTTTGGGTTGCATAATATCTTGATAACATCATATTCCAAATACTTTATCATGTTTCTCACAAATATTCCAATTAGGTGGGCTTTGAATATGACACTTAAATTAGAACCTTCCTGAGCTTCAGTTTCCCCATCTGTAAAATAGGAATAATATGTCTTTCCTATCTATTTCACAGAGCTGTTGTGAAACCCAAGTTATATATATGTGTGTACATATATGTGTATATACATGTTTAAAGGACTTGGTAGTTATGAAGGAGTATATGATGGTAAGCTAAAGTTATCATAATAGAGCCAACATTGGTAATAACAGTGGCTAGCATTTATATAGCCCTTTAAGGTTTGTAAAGCACTTTTTGTTTTTGATGAGGCAAGCAGGGTTGTGATTTGCCCAGGGTCACACAGCTAGTAAGTGTCGAGTGTCTGAAGCCAGATTTGAACTCAGGTCCTCTTGACTCCAAGGCCAGAGCTTGATCCACTGTGCCACCTAGCTGTCCCTTGTAAAGCACTTTTGATCCTCACAACAAACCTCATGAGCTAGGTTCTAGTATTATCCTCATTTTACAGATGGGGAAACTGAGGCAGAGAGCAGTTAAGTGACTTGTCCGGGCAGCTAATGTCTGCAACTAGATTTGAACTCCGTATTGGTGTCTCTTATGTTACAGAATTATTATTCACTTAGAGATGAGGAAACTGAGGCCCACATTAACCCAGAATCACTTAATGAGCCAGCAGTGTAATTGGAGAACAAGAGGACAGAACTCTAAAGAAATGCCTTCCAGTGCAATGTACTCTGGTAGAAACTGATGTGAATTTTGTAAATCAAAGGGAAAAAAAGCTGTTTGTTTTCTGCAATATTGGTCTAGTTGATGCTATCCATCCAGGGTCCTTGTAAATCCAAATCTGCATGATTCTGGTTAGTTGTATCATTGACATTTCTTTGTTTTTCCCCCAGGAAACTCTTGAAGAAAAATTTCCAGAAACTCCTCCAGTGGCTCTGAACTTCCTGAAGGTACTTTGGGTTCCGTTCTATCTAGAACTGATAGATTCAACAGCAGCTGTTATGAAGTGTGACAGAGTTTACCGCTTTGCCCGTCAGATTACCGCATAGATGCCAACAAGTAAATATAAAGTAATTTAGAAAGCAGACAGCATGTGCCAACAACTGGGAGCAATAGAAAAAAAAAAGCCTCCTCCTGTAGGAATGGCACAAGAACTTAGTGTAGAAGGAAGCTCAGGATTCTCTTAGGAGTGGAGGTGAGAAGGGAATGCATTCCAGGTATAGCGTAAAGGTAGAGAGATAGGAGAAGGCTTATTAATTACAAGGAACAGCTTGTAGGCCAGTATGGCTGGAATACAGAGTGTGTGATGGGACATACTGTGAAATATCTAGAAAGATAGGTGGGAGTGGGATTGTGAAGGTTTTTAAGGGTCAGCCTGAGGAGTTTGTATCTAATCGTAGAATCACACTAGATTTTTTTTAAAGGGAATGATATGCTCAGATATGTGCTTTGGGATATTAATTTGTCAGCTGTGTGGGGGGTGAATTGGAGGAGGGGAGGCTTGAGGTAGGGAGACCATTAGAAGGTTATTTCAGTAGTCCAGCAGAAGGACCATGAAAGCCAGAGCTAATGTTGTAACTGTATGAGTGGATAGAAGAAGACATATACGAAGCATGTTGTGAAGGTTAAAATGGTGAGATTTAGCTGTGGATTTGGCAATGGATGTATGGGGTGAGGGAGAGAAATAAAGGATGATACTGAGGTCATGAGTCTGGGTCACTGAGAGGGTAATGGTACCCATGGCAGTAATAGGGTAGTTCAAAAAAGGAGAGGGTTTTGGAGAAAATAATAATGAATTCTGTTTTGGATTCATCGAGTTTGAGATCCCGATAGGGCATCCATGCAATTTTAGATGTCCAGGAGGCAGTTGGAGATGTGTGACCATAGCTCAATAAACAGTGTAGAATTGGAGATCTTTAAAGAGGTGATCATTGAACCCATTGAATCCATTGAACCCATGACAGTTAATGAAGTCACAAAGTAAGATAATATAGAGTGAAAAGAAAAGAGGACCCAGGACAGAGCCGATTTGACGGAAGACAGGAGAGACCAGACAGAGAGAAGATCCAAGAGAGAAGAGTCATGAAAAACTAGAGAGAAGAGAGTTCCCTTGAGAAGAGCATGATTGATAGCGTCATTTGCTGCTGAGAGGTCAAGGAGGATCAATATGGATAAAGGGCCATTAGATTTGTCAATTAATAGATCATTGGTAACTTTGAAGAGAGCAGTTTCAGCTGCATGATGATACTGGATCTCATCTCAAGTAACTCATACTGAGCTTGTAGTTTACTAAAACTCCATCATCTTCAAACTACTACTGTCTAGCCTCATATGCCACATCATGTACTAATGCAGTTGACTTTTTGTAAGCAAGTGTAAGACTTTTCGTTTGTCTTCTCAAAATTTCATTTTAATATCTGTGGTCCAGCATTCTAGCCCATGAAGATCTTTTTGATCCTTGATTGTCTTCTAGTACATTGGCTGTGCCTCCCTGCGTTGTGTCATCTATCAGTTTGATGAGCGTGCCTTTATCTAAGTTACTGATAAAAATACTAAATAGCGAAGGACCAAGCAGAGACTTCTGGAGCTCTCCATTGGAGCCTTCCTTCGAATCTGACATAGAACCACTATTGACTTCTTTTGGGTTTAGCCGTTCAGCCAGTTACAAATTTCACATCTTTTCAATTTTTCTAAGAAAATAACATGACTTCATCAAATGCTTTACTAAGCTCAAGGTAAACTGAATTTACAGTATTCCTCTGATTCTATTCAATTTAATTCAGTAAACATTAAGAACCCCCTACCTGCAAGGTACTATGTTAGCCATTGGAGATAGAAGGGCAAAATGATAATCCCTGTTTGTTTTGAATAAAGTATACCATTTTAGAGAAAATTCACCATCCTGTATTCAACAGGATGATAAGTTGTTGAAAGACTGCTTTATATAACCATGTTGGGGTAGAAATCAGAATTTATCAGGAGAAAACCAAGATAGTTCAGAATCGATGAGACCAAAGTCAATAATAAAAGACCAGAAGAGAAAAGTAGACTCAGGTCATGTCAGGGACTCATCTTCAGGCTTGCATTAAGCCTCTGCCCCTGGCCCAGGAGAGACAGGGAACCCAAAAAACCAACTGTCCAGTGTAGAAGATGAGGCTATTCCTGACTAGTCAGCTGGGACCCATCAGTCAGTCATTTAATAAACATTCATTAAACATTGATTAATAAACATTTGTTAAGCACCTGCTCTGTGCCAGGCACTATGCTACGTGCTGTCAGGGCAGAAGATGAGACCTTTCCACATGATGTGGATATCAAACATCCTTTGACATAGGAAAATGATTTCCTATCCTCAGAGGCACTGAGGGATCCTTAATGTGAGCCACAATTTATCATTCACAACTTCATCAAAACACAGAGTCATAGCTAACCTAGGGCAACCAGGGCTCTGCCTGTGGTTTTCAACAGCTGGAGTAAAGCTACCTTCTTCCCTATGGTGACCACTCTCCCTGCAGGGTCCCAGGTCACCGCTCCCATGTCTCATCAGATTTAGAGGTACACGTCTTTCAGAGTCCTGCCTTCCCATTTTCCACCCCTCTGGGGTGCAGATCAAACTCATGGTTCCATAGATTTAGGACTGGATTTAGGACCTTAAAAGTCATCCGATCCAATCCCTTCATGTGACAAATGAACTAAGGCTGAGAGAAGTTAATGACTTGTTCAATGTCACATGACTAGCGAATATCTGAGGTGAGATTTGAACCCAGAGTCAGACCACCCCATTTCCAATAAAATTGCACCTGTGGTTAGACTGTTCTCTCTTCTGTGCTACCCCTCCCTCAACTGAATCTGCCTCAGGCACAAGAATTCTTAGCAATGGCTCCATCAAAAGGGGTCACTCACCTTAAGGGATAATAATAAGTAACCCTGTGTCATCTTCATCTCAAATTGACCTTTGGCCATAGAATGTCAGATGTCTTTACTCTGATTCAAATATTACCCTGACCTTCTGGCTTCTGGCTTAACTTCTAAATGTCTGACATTCTTAATGAAAGCTCTAATGCTTTCAGTTATGATGTCCAAACACAACAATTTTTCCTAATGTTGATCATGGTCTTTCCCAGATGATATTGCCCAAAGCAATCTTGGGATACTAAGGGTAGCAATCAGTATAGCCCCAAGGAGAGAAGACAGTTCAGTGTTGTCATAAAAACACAGGGACACCATGACATATTTAGCCAGTTAGTCAACCAGCATTAATTAAGTGCTTACTATGTTCCAGGTACTTTGCTTAGTCCTGAGGATACAAAGAAAGGCAAAAACAGTCTCTGCCCTCAAGGAGTTCACAATCTAATGCGGGAAACAACACACCTCTTTCTTACAGAAGGTGGAATCTGAGTTCGTCTTGAAGAAAGCCAAGGAAGCAAGGAGGTAGAAGAAAAGAGGGAGAACATTCAGGCATGAGGGATAGCCAATGCAAATGCCCAGTTGGGAGATAGACTGTTATGCCCAAGGAACAACAGTAGACCAGTGTAGCTAGATTGTAGAGTGTGTGAGGGGGAGTAAAGAGTAAGAAGACGAGAGGTAGGAAGGGGCCAGGTTGTGAAGGGCTTTAAATGCTAACAGAGGACTTTATATTTGATCCTGAAAGCAATGGAGAGTCATGTGATTTTATTGAGCATATTGAGGAAAGGAGAAACGTGGCCAGATTTGTACTTTAGGAGAATCACTTTGGCAAGTGAGTGGGAGGATGGATTAGGGTAGGGAGAGACTTGAGGCAAAGGGATCAATTAGAAAATTATTGTAATAGTCTAAGCAAGGGGTGCCGCATGAGTCCATCCCCCCACAAGAGTGATGGTTTTATGAGGGGAGAGAAGATAACACATGAGAGATGTTGTGGAGGTAGAAATGGCAACATTTGTCAATGAATTGGATGGATGAGATGAAAGCAGATAAGAAGCTGAGAATGACACTGAAGTTTTGGGCATAGGTGACTGGAAGGATCGTGGTTCCCTCCACAGTAATACAGAGCCAGGATGAGGAGAAAGTTTAGGGGAAAGATAATGAGTTCTGTTTTGCATATATTGAGTTTGAGATACCTATAGGACATTGAATTCAAAATATCCAAGAGGATAGTCCTGTTGCAGGACTAGAGTTCAGGAGAAAGATTAGGACTAGATATATAGATCTGGGAATGATCTGCCTAGAAGTGAAAATTGAATCCATAGGAGCTAATGAGATCACCAAGTGAGATAGTACAGAGAAGGGTTATTGGAGTTTTTTGTTTTTTGTTTTTTTGTGCCATGGACTCCTTTGATAGTCTGGTTAAGCCTATAAACCTCTTCTCAGAATAATGTTTTTAAATTAATTGAAAAAAATTTCCACTAAAGGTTAGTAAATATATATACATATGTATGTATATTTGTATGTATGTCTTTTCTCCATTCAAGTTTGGCAACTCCTTGAAATCTATTCATAGACCTCTAAGTTATGAATCCTTGGTATAGAGAGAAAGAGAAGATGATTGAGGTCAGAGTCTTGGGGGATACCCCCTATTAATGGCCATTACATAGGTGAAGATCCAACAAAAGAGACTAGGGAGAAGGTCAGGCAGATAGGAGGAGAATCAGGAAAGAGCAGTGTCAAGAAGACCTAGAGAAAAGAGTGTATCTGGAAGGAGAAGGCAATTAACAGTGTCAGAGGCTGCAGAGAGGCCATGAAAATGAGGATTTAGGAGAAAAAACACATTGGATTTGCCAATTAAGAGATCATTGGTAATTTTGACTTAAGGTTAAAGTTGTTGACTTAACATGGCAGCTGCTGGACATCAGAAACATGGGCAGTTCCACTCCACTGGCATAAACGGGACTTCAAAAGGCAGTAGATTGAGTCGTCAAAGTGATGGGTCACTACCATGGCCTATAAACCCCATTCTGTCGTTTTCTTAACT